CTGGAGCTGGGCCAGGGGGATCAGGCTGGGATCAGGGCAGGGCTGTCCCCAGAGGGTGCTGGGTGCTGAACAGCCTCCCCAGGGATTGGTCATGGCCCCAAGGCTGCCAGAGCCCCTGGAGCCTTTGGACATCCCTCTCAGGCACAGGGTGGGATTTGGGGTGTCTGTGCAGGGCCAGGGGTTGGACTGGATGATCCTGGGGTCCCTTCCTGTCACCCTGATTTTTTAAGATTTTTTTAAAGCCTTCTGATGTTTACATTTTTGTAACGAACTTTCTCACACACTTTTTTTGTAAATAACTTATTGTTTTGCATTCTTTTATGGGAAAAGAGAAGTTTAATAGACTGCTAGTTTATCCAGTGTCATTGGAGAGGTGGCACTTTCCCCCTCCAATCCACTGTCACTTTTGGAAGTCTATAAATATTGAAGTCAAAAAATAAACTTCCCTTTTTTACCTTGAAAACAACAGCGTGTCTGTGTCATGTTATTTTGTGTCATCTAATGACACCTTCTCAGGTTGCTGTTGTTAATTGCTGCCCCAAGATGTGCAAGATGTCTCTGTTTCGGAACTGAAGAACGAGTCTGGACTCTTCACTTTTCGGTCTTGAGGTTGTTTATTAATTCTTATCTATAAAATTTTCTTTCTGCCCAGTCGAGATCTGCTCAGCAGGGCAGCCACAGGCACTCTGACCACCCTTGGGGTGGTGTTGTCCTTTTATACTACAAACTACATATTTACAATATTACAGAATAACATATTTACACTTAATGCCCAATACCTATCACCTATGTTAGACAGTGCACTTCTACTCTAAACCAATCCCAAAATGACAACATCACTGCAGAAAATGGAGAACAAGAAGGAGGAGGAGAAGAAGGACAGGACATGCCCACATTTCTCCATCTTGCCTCCTGAACTCCCGTTCTAAAAACCCCAAAATTCTACATTTTCACTCTGTGACTAATTCACTATCATTCTACTCAAACTCTCGTGGCTTGTAACTCCTCACACAAAGCTAGCAAATTTTTCCAGCCCTTGGGGTGGTGTTAGTTTTTTATACTAAAATCTACGTGTACAATATTTACACTTAATGCCCAATACCTATCACCTATGTTAGACAGTGCACTTCTGTTCTAAACCAATCCCAAAGTGTCAAGATCACCGAGAAAATGGAGACCAAGAAGAAGAAGAAGAAAGGCTGGACACACCCAAGTTCCTCCATCTTGTCCCCACAACCTTCATACCAAAAATCCTAAAATCTACATTTTCACCCTGTGATCATTTTATTATTATACTATTTAAACTTCTGTGACTTTCAGGTCCTCATACAAAGCTGGTAACTTGCTCCAGGGGTCAAAATCAAATCCCCAGGTGTTCTGGGCAGCATGCCAGGGTCTCCGAGCATCCCAGTGGACTCTGGACACCCGGAGGGATGCATTGAGTTCCGACAACACCTTCCCACTGAGGGTGTTCCCTGAGAAGAGCAGGGCAGGGGCTGGAGTCTCTTCCCTGCTGTTTTATCCAGGAGGAGCTGCTGGGGTTGTGGCTTTGCTGGGAGTTTTGCCTCTCCCAGAGCAAACATTTCCCCTCTTGGAGCCTTTCTAGGCTGGGATGGAGCTGTGGGATCTGGAGTTCAGGCTCCGAGGCTCCTGCCCTGGCTGGGCAGCAGAGCCCTGGGCTGTGATGGTGTTCGCAGGGGTCTGAGGGTGAGATGAGGATCTGACTCCATGTTTCAGAAGGCTTGATTTATTATTTTATGATATATGTTACATTAAAATTATACTAAAAGAATAGAAGAAAGGATTTCATCAGAAGGCTAGCTAAGGATAGAATAGGAAAGAATGATAACAAAGGTTTGTGGCTCGGCTCTCTGTCTGAGCCAGCTGGGCTGTGATTGGCCATTAATTAGAAACAACTAACATGAGACTAATTAAAGAGTTACTTGTTGCATTCCACAGCAGATAATCAATGTTTACATTTTGTTCCTGAGGCCTCTCAGCTTCTCAGGAGGAAAAATCTTAAGGAAAGGATTTTTCATAAAAGGTGTCTGTGACACTGGGGCTCCCTGAGGAACTGAGCTCACAAAGCACCTGAGCTCCTGTTCCCAAGCCCCTGGAGCCCTGGTGAAGGGTGTCACCCCCTGAGTGTGTTGCAGGTTCTTTACCCATCCTTGTGCTCAGTAATTGACCCGTGGTTGTTTATCCATCCTCGTTCTCAGCTGTCTGTCCATCTGTCACAGACATCTTTTATGAAAAATCTCTTCTTTAAGATTTTTCCTCCTGAGAAGCTGAGAGGCCTCAGGAACAAAATGTAAACATTGATTACCTGCTGCTGTGGGACGCAACAGGTGCATCTGTGATTGGTCTCATGCAGTTGTTTCTAATTAATGGCCAATCACAGTGAGCTGGCTCAGACTCTGTCTGAGACATGAACCTTTGTTATCATTCTTTGCTGTTCTATTCTTAGCTTGCCTTCTGAGGAAATCCTTTCTTCTATTCTTTTAGTATAGTTTTAATGTAATATATATCATAAAATAATAATTCAAGCCTTCTGAAACATGGAGTCAGATCCTCATCTCTTCCCTCACCCTCAGACCCCTGTGAACACGGTCTCAGTCCATGCTCACCCTGGCAGGGCAGCAGAATCCGGGCACCAGCCCGGGCTCGGTTTCTCTCCCTCCCTTGGGCCCTGCCCAGCTCTCAGCCCCTGCCCAGCCCCGGGGAGCCCTTGAGGAGCCGCGGGTGAAGTGGCCCTGAATTGACTCGGAATAATCCTGACAGGTCCTGCGGAATCGCCCCTTTCCGACTGAATGGCTCGGGCTGGGTCCCTGCGGATGCCAAGGCTGCTTTGCTTGGCTGCATTCCTGCCCTTCCAGCTCGTGCTTTCCTCTTAACCCTTCCTTTCCCGGCTTCCCCGCAGAATCCAGGAGCGGGGAGGGTTTTCCCACCGTTTCCCTGCAAAGATTCCTCACCTTCTCTGCGCTAGGCCTGCAGTTTGTCACGGTTTTTTGTGGGTTTTTTTGCTGGGGTTTTAGTTTGGTTTTTTTGGGTTTTTTTGGTTTTTTTTTTTTGTTTGTTTGTTTGTTTGTTTGTTTTTTGTGTTGGTTTGGGTTTTTTAATTTATTTTTTTTTTCTGGCAGATTGCTCAGAACAGCTGATTTATTGTTTGTACCTCTGTTATCGACCTGGCACACTCAGGAATGACTGGAAGGGGCTGGGGAGGGACAGGACGGGGGTGGAGGCTCTCTGCTCCAAATTGTTCTCATTTTGGGGGAACAGAGAGAGCAGCTGCTCTGCTGAGAGCTCCCATTCCTCCCCAGCCCCTCTCCTGGGCTGCAGGTGGAGCCTGGGCTGTGTTTCCTCTGTCCTGGGCCCATGGGAACCCCTTCACCCTTCAAAAGAGACAATTTTCCAGCATGTCCTGTGGCACACGAGCAGATGTCCCCATCTCTCTGTGCCCTGAGGTTGTATTTCCCCCCCCAGGCTCTGTCAGAGCAGTGAAAACCCTCAGTGATTCCCTCAGTGCCCCTTTCCCTGGGCTGGGAGATCCCCATTGTCTTCCTGCCCGTGGGCTTGGATCAATAACTTGGATCAATAACTGATCAATAATCTGCCCTGGGGATGGGGCTGTCCCTGTCCATGGGCTTGGATCAATAACACTGATCAATAACTTGGATCAATAACTGATCAATAATCTGCTCTGGAGGTGGGGTTGCTCCTGTCCATGGGCTTGGATCAATAACTGATCAATAACTTGGATCAATAACTGATCAATAATCTGCTCTGGAGGTGGGGTTGCTCCTGTCCATGGGCTTGGATCAATAACTGATCAATAACTTGGATCAATAACACTGATCAATAACTTGGATCAATAACATCAACAGCAGAAAAAGGTTCCTCAGAGCCTCCCTCCCTTTGCAAATCCCAGTCCTGAGGTTCAGAAGCTCTGGGACAGCTGACCCCTGCTCTGGAGTGGGACTCTGTCCCTGCATCCTCCCCAAACCCGGATCATCCCCATTCTTGGATCCCCACATCCTCCCTAACCCTGGATTATCCCTGTTCCTGAATCTCCACATCCTCCCTAACTCTGGATTATCCCTGTTCCTGAATCTCCACATCCTCCCCATCCTTGCACCCTCCCCATTCCTGGCCCCAACCCCTCACCCTCCTGGGTGCTGTGTCTGTCCATCCTCCCCATCTGACCCTGCATCCTCCCTATCCCATCCTCCCAGGCTCTGCATCCCTGCATCCTCCCTAACCCTGCATCCTCCCTAATCCATCCCTGCATCCTCCCCATCCCATCTCATCCCATCCCATCCCATCCCATCCCATCCCATCCCATCCCATCCCATCCCATCCCATCCCTGCATCCTCCCTAAGCCTGCATCCTCCCCATCCCAACCCTGCATCCTCCCTAACTCTGCATCCTCTTCAACACCCCAACCCTGCATTCTGCCCATCCCATCCCATCCCATCCCATCCCATCCCATCCCATCCCTGCATCCTCCTCGTCACCCCTCTGAACACTCCCCATCCCTAAGCCCATCCCTGCATCACCCCATCCCGCTCCTCTCTCCATTCTGATCCTCTCTCCATCCCAACCCTCTCTCCATCCCAACCCTCTCTCCATCCTGACCCTGCCTTAATTCCCCTATCCGGACCGTCTCTCCATCCCAACCCTCTCTCCATCCTCCCCATCCTGACCCTCTCTCCAACCTGACTCTGTCTCCATCCCGGCCCTCTCCCATCCTGACCCTCACTCCCCCCATCCCAACCCTCTCTCCATCCCTCCCGTCCTGACCTTCTCTCCATCCCAACGCTCTCTCCATTCCCCCATCCCGACCCTCTCTGCATCCCTCTCCCATCCTGATCCTCTCTCTATCCCGACCCTCTCCCCATCCCAATCCTCTCTCCATCCCATCCCTCTCCCCATCCCTTTCCATCTCTCCCTGTCTCCCCTCCCGTCTCCCCTGCTCTCCGGGCTGGCAGTGGTACATCCCTGCCTCCCTGCCTCCCTCCCTCCCTGCCTGCATTGCCCGCTGCTCGGGGACGCTGCTGGCAGCGCTGCGGGGGCTGCGGCGGCCGCGTCCGGCCCCACACCCGCGGGACAAGGGCTGGAAGCGCCCCCAGGTCCATCCCCATCCCGATCCGAGCCCGGGGCAGGCAGCAGCCATGACCCAGGGGAAGGTACGAGAGAGGCCGGGCGGGCAGGGCCGGCCCGTCCCTGTTGCGTAACGGCGGGGAAAGAGCGCAGGGAAGGGGTTTGGGAACAGGAGGGGATTTAGGAACTGAGCGATGGGTGCAAGGGGAGCGGGGTACCCGTGCACGGAACCAGCCATGGGGGTGGAAGGGGCTGGGGGGCTGGTTTGGGGGTTGGGGGCTGTTTTTGGGATGGTTTTGGGATTGGAGGCTGGTTTGGGATTGGTTTGGGGATCGGGCTGGTTTAGGGGTGATGGATACACAGCTCGAACCCCGTTGGACCGAACCTGTGGCCGTTTTACCCCCCTGTGCCCCCCACATCCCGGGTTCCAGGGGGCTCTGTGAGCTGTTCGTGCTGTCCCACCCCCGTCCCCACCTGGCAGCACCTCCTGCCCAGCCCAGGTACTCAGGATTTTGGAGATTTTGGGGGTTTGGGGGAATTTAGGGCTCTCCAATGCTCTCAGACCGAGGAGGGGGGGGGGTTATGGATCCTCTGCCAGCTCATGCACCATCGCCATGGCAACGCTCTGGATGCAGCTCCATCCCTCTGGATCTCCTTGGATATCGGGGGGGTGGGGAGGGGGCTCGCGGGATCTCAGCCCCCTAAACCCAAGGGACAGGGAAGGACAGGGAAGGACAGGGAAGGGCGGGGAAGGGCAGTCCCTGGGGCTGCCAGGGAAGGTGGCACAGCCGACCTGCCCGTGGGATTCATCCCAGCCTGGCCCTGCTGGGTTTTCAGGGCTCGTGGCCCCTTCAGCTGCATTCCTCCTCACTCTGCTCTGTTAACGCCCCCCCTGTTTTGGGGTTCATTGACTCTGCAGCCCCCCGAGCTGTGCGCCTCTCCTGGGCTGAGCTGGCTCCTCCACGGCAGCAGAGTTATCCTGGCACTTTATCCACCCCAGCCCAGCTGGGAGGTTAAAGGGATCAGGTTCCCAAGGAGAGGAGAGTGCTCAGGTGGCCCCAGGTTGGCTCCTTGCTGCAGTCCCGGCTCCTTGGAACGCTGGGAAGCAGCAGAGCTGAGCCTCCTCACGGGCACAGGGGAGAAAATTCTGGAGGGCCAAGCCAGAGCATTCCTGGGAGCAGCTGATCCCAAATGGGGTAAATGGGAATGAAGAGTTCAGGATTTTCTGCCCAGGAGCTGAAAGCTCTTTTTAAGGAGCAATGTAGGAAGTTTGATGAGAAGCAGGGAATTCCTTGGATGTTTTTGGTGTCACATTGAGCCCGAGGCACCGTGGGTGCTCCGGGTCTCCCCTCAGACCTCCCTGCCTGGAACTTCTCATCCCAATGAGCGCCTCCAGGGCTTTCCCATCTCCCTTCAGCCATGGATGCCCTTCCCGGGGTGCAGGCATGGGCCCGTGCCCAGCCCCAGGAATGGCCGGGGGGATCCCAGTTCCCAGGGCTCCCAGTTCCCAGGGCTCCCAGTTCCTTTAGCTCCCAGTTCCCGTGGCTCCCAGTTCCTTTAGCTCCCAGTTCCCAGGGCTCCCAGTTCCCGTGGCTCCCAGTTCCTTTAGCTCCCAGTTCCCAGGGCTCCCAGTTCCCGTGGCTCCCAGTTCCTTTAGCTCCCAGTTCCCAGGGCTCCCAGTTCCCGTGGCTCCCAGTTTCCATGGCTCCCAGTTCCCATGGCTCTCAGTTCCCGTGGCTCCCAGTTCCTGTAGCTCCCAGTTCCCATGGCTCCCAGTTCCCATGGCTCCCAATTCCCGTGGCTCCCAGTTCCCATGGCTCCCAGTTCCCATTGCTCTCAGTTCCCATGGCTCCCAGTTCTTGGGGCTCCCAGTTCCCATGGCTCCCAGTTCCAGTGTCCCCCAATTCCAGTGTCCCCCAGTTCTTGGGGCTCCCAGTTCCAGTGCCCCCCAATTCCAGTGTCTCCCAGTTCCCGTGGCTCCCAGTTCCTGACCCCTTTTCCAGAGCCCATCCGTGCAGTTTCTCATCCAGGGCGGTTTCTGGGATGCTTTTACTCATCTTTCTCTCTCTCTTTGCCCCTCTCTGTGCAGCTCTCTGTGAACAGCAAGCCCCCCAGCTCTGAGGGGCAAGGGGACAAGAAGGACAATGCCACAGCCCCCCCGGCGCCCCCGTCCTACGAGGAGGCCACGGCGGGAGAAGGGATCAAAGCCAGGGCTTTCCCTGCTCCGCCCGCGGCCCCGCTCCACCCCAGCTGGGCATACGTGGATCCCAGTAAGTCCTGCCTGGATGGGCTGGGGGAGCCCTGGGAGAGGGGCAGGGATCCCCCGGGATGGAGAGGAGAGGAGAGGGGGAACCGGGATGAGAGGGGGAGCCGGGATGAGAAGGGAACCAGGATAAGAAGGGGAGCAGGGATGAGAGGGGGAGCAGGGAGAAGATGGGGAGCAGGGATGAGAGCAGAAGCAGGGATAAGAGGGGGGACCAGGGATGAGATGGCGACCAGGGATGAGAGGGGGACCAGGGATGAGAAGGAAATGAGGATAAGAGGGTGAGAAGGGATGAGAGGAGGAGCAGGGAGAAGAGGGGGAGCAGGGAGAAGAATAAGAGCAGGGATAAGATGGGGAGCAGGATAAGAGGAGGAACAGGGAAAAGAGGGGGGACGAGGGATGAGAGGGAACCAAAATAAGAGGAAGAGCAGGGATAAGAGGAGGAGCAGAGACAAGAGGGGGCAACCAGGATAAGAGGAAGAGCAAGGATAAGAGGAGGAACCAGGAAAAGATGGGGAGCAGGGATAAGAGGGGGAGCAGGGACAAGAGGGAGAACCACGATAAGAGGGGGAGCAGGAATGAGAGGCGGGACTAGGGATAATAGGAGGAGCAGGGATAAGAGGGGAACCAGGGATGAGAAGAGGAGCAGGGATAAGAGGAAGACCAGGGATAAGAGGAGGAGAAGGGATAAGATGGGGAGCAGGGATAAGAGGGGGATCTGGATAGAAGGAGCAGCAGGGTTAAGAGGAGAAGCAGGGATGTGGTGCCCAATATGGCCCACAGCAGAGCTGCAGCCATGAGCTGTGAGCCTCTGTGTGCACAGGAGAGTCTCTATCAGTGTACAAAAGTCTCCATCTACACATAAAACTCTCCATCTGCAGATAAAAGTCTGTATCTGTGGATAAAAGCCATTCCAGCCATCCCAGAAACCTCACAAGGGAGTAAAGTCCTTCCCAGTCCCATGTGGGAGAAATCCCCATTCCCAGCTCCTGGGCTGGAGGGAAAGTCCTGGGATCCTGCAGGGATCCCCCACCCCCTCCTGCAGCTCCTGCTCAGCTCCCAGAGCAGCTGAGGTGGCACAATTGGTGTCACAAGTGGTGTCACAGCCCCCAGTGTGGCTGTTGGCAGCTGCTGGCAGAGCCAGGGAGGCTGGGACACGGCTGGGGCCAAAGGCTGGATTGTTCCAGCATCCTCGTGGCCATTCCTGGGCAAACCAGTAGTTTTCCCAACACCCAGAAGCTCCCTGGAGCTGCTGCTGGGCTGCAGCAAAGGACAGAGCCCTGGCTGTGCCCAGGGAATGGCTGCAGGCTTGGAAATGGGGCTGGTGCCTGGGGAATGACCCTGGGGGTGGCCAAGTGCTCACTCAGCACAGCTCCAGCCAGAGTAAACACTGGGATGATGGGATTTAGGGACTCCTGAGCTCTTGCCCTGCTCCATCCTTTGCTGCCTGTTCTGTACAGCTGCAGGGATGGGAAGCTTGGGGAAGGGGAAAGAGTGAGAACCTCCCCTGCTGTGTCTGTGCTGCACATTCTGATGGTTTCTCAGCCTTTGCCCTGAGGAACAGGACAAATGCCCCCAGGTGCCTCTGGGCATCATCTGGGATTTTCTGCTCTTGCAATGAATTAGCGGGGGTGAGGCCTAAATGGGGTGGGATGGGTATTTGGGGTTTATGGAGTGGGACGGGGCATTTGGGGTTTAGGGGGTGGAGTGTTTGCGGTTTAGGGGGTGAGATGGAGAATTTTGGGATTTATGGAGTGGGATGGGGTATTTGTGGTTTAGGGATGGGATGGGGTATTTGAGTTTAGGGGTAGGATGGGGTATTTGGGGTTTATGGATGGGATGGGGTATTTGGGGTTTATAGAATGGGATGGGGTATTTGGGGATTAGGGGTGGGATGGGGTATTTGGGTTTAAGGGGTAGGATGGGGTATTTGGGGTTTATGGAGTGGGATGGGGTATTTGGGGTATAGGGGATGTTTGGGATTTAGGGGGTGGGATGGGGTATTTGGAGTGGGATGAGGTATTTGGGGTTTAGAGGGTGGGATGGTGTGTTTGGGGTTTAGGGATGGAATGGGGTATTTGGGGTTTGGGGTGGGATGGGGTATTTGGGTTTTATGGAGTGGGATGGGGTATTTGGGGTTTAAGGGGTGAGAATAGGGTATTTGGGTTTAGGGGTGGGATGAGGTATTTGGGGTTTATGGAGTGGGATGGGATATTTGGGTATAGGGGATGTTTGGGGTTTGGGGTGGGATGGGGTATTTGGGTTTATGGGGTGGGAATGGGGTATTTGGGGTTTAAGAGGTGAGAATGGGGTATTTGGGTTTAGGGGTGGGATGGGGTATTTGGGGTTTATGGAGTGGGATGGGATATTTGGGTTTTATGGAGTGGGATGGGGTATTTGGGTTTAGGGGGTGGGATGGATTATTTGGGGTTTAGGGGGTCTCTGGGGTATTTGGGGTTTATGGAGTGGGATGGGGTATTTGGGTTTTATGGAGTGGGATGGGGTATTTGGGGTTTACGGATGGGATGGGGTATTTGGGGTTTATGGAGTGGGATGGGATATTTGGGTTTTATGGAGTGGGATGGGATATTTGGGTTTAGGGGGTAGGATGGGGTATTTGGGGTTTACGGATGGGATGGGGTATTTGGGGTTTAGGGGTCTCTGGGGTATTTGGGGTTTATGGAGTGGGATGGGGTGTTTGGGGTTTAGGGGGTGGGATGAGGTATTTGGGGTTTAGGGATGGGATGGGGTATTTGGGGTTTAGGGGTCTCTGGGGTATTTGGGGTTTATGGAGTGGGATGGGGTGTTTGGGGTTTAGGGGGTGGGATGGGGTATTTGGGGGCTCCAGGTGGGAAGCCAATCCCACTCTATGGGATGTCTCACACCTGACTGGGAGGGCCTGGAGAGAAGGGATGTGGGTTTGGGGTTGTTTCTGTGACCATGAACTCAGGACACACTGTCCTGCTGTGGCCTTGGATGGGGGGACAGATGTGGGGAGGCCAGGAAGGAGGAGGATGGAACCCTCTGGATGCTGGCAGGGAGGGAGGGAGAGAGGAGGGTAAAACCCTTCAGTTCCTTGGGGCACTGAGATGCCAGTTTGGTGTTTAGGGGACATTGGGTGTTTAGAGGCCAGTTGGGAGTTTAGGGGCCAATGTGGTGTTTAGGGGCCAATTTGGTGTTTAGAGGTGAGCTGGGAGTTTAGGGGCCAATTTGCTGTTTAGGGGGCATTTGGGTGTTTAGGGACCAGCTTGGGTGTTTAGGAAACAGTTGGGTGTTTAGGAGCCAACTTGGTGTTTAGGGGCCAGTTTGGTGTTTAGAGGACAATTTGGTGTCTGGGTGCCAGCTGGGTGTTTGTGGGCCAATTTGGTGTTTAGGGGCCAATTTAGTGTTTAGGGGTCAGCTTGGGTGTTGTTTAGGAGCTGGGACTGCTTTGGTGCAGGAGGCCTGGAATTCCCAGGAATTCTCCCTGCCCAGGTACTTTGGGACCGATCAGGGATCCAGGACAACACACAGGAGGTTCAGCTCCAGTGGGGCAGGAAGGAAGGAAGGACCAAGGGATTTACTGATAACAGAACAGCACCAGGGACTTGTTTCCTGCGGGGGGCACCTGAGTGAGGCTGCTGCATTTTGAATGAGCAACTTTAACCAGGAGAACAGGAGAAAATCAGGATCAGGACCTTGAGTTTGGCTCTCCTGGTGTCTGCTCTGGGATTGAGAGGGTCTTTGCTCCATCTCCTGAAGGATTTGGGCATCCCTGAGCTCAGAAGCTTTATGAGGAGGGGAGGTGTCTGTGGACCAGGCAGGGACAAGAATGTAAAGCAGGAAAATCACACAAAAATCCTTCTGTGAAACCCAGCAGGGGGGACTTCAGTGACACAGGAGGGGACATCAGCAAGGGAAGCACAGAGGGCACAGAACGGTCATGGAGCCATGGAATGGTTTGGGTGGGATGGGAGACCTTTAAGCCCATCCAGTGCCACCCCTGCCATGGCAGGGACCCCTCCCACTGTCCCAGGCTGCTCCAAGCCTATCCAGCCTGGCCTGGGACACTGCCAGGGATGGGGAAAGGAAAACCAGCAACAGGAGCTGCTGTTCCAGTTTTGGCTCAGCAGAGATGCCTTGTGCAGGGATTTGAGGGTTTGGGGGGAAGGTTTTTCTCACTGGGAGCATTGGAGCTGTTTCCTTCTTTTTTAGGCTCGGTGCTTAACTGTTTCCTGAGTCCCTGCATGGAAATGGGGCTGAGGGATGGACTCAGGGAGCTGCCAGGAGCTGCTCTCAGAGCTGAGGCGTTGTTGACAAAGCCAGGATGCAAACACAGCTCAGGAGAGCAGCGAGGGACTCCTCCTGCTCCGCTGGGAATGCTGAATCACAGCTGCTCCCCTGGGAATGCTGAGGCACAGCTGCTTTGGGGATGCTTCAACATCCAATGAAAGGAGAGCAAGGGATGATTGCAGCCCTCCCATTGCTGTGAAAGCTTTGGTGTTTCCTCAGAAAAGGATAAAGCAAAGCTGAGGGAACACTCAGAAGTGTCCCCTGGTGTTGGGATGGTTTGTGGGAATGTCCCCCCTCTGTTCCCAGGGATGCTCCTAAGGACCAGCAGGAGTGGGAAGAGAGCAGAACTTTTGTATTTGCAGGGGAATGTCCCAGTGAAGGCAGGAATGATGAATCTGACTCCATGTTCTCAGAAGGCTAATTTGTTACTTTATAATACTATATTATATTAATTAATACTATACTTTAATATAATATACCTATACTAAAGAATAATATATTTAATACTCTTTAATATTAATATCCTTATATTAATATTCTTTAATATATTATATTAAAGACTATTATAATTTAATATAATACATAATAAACCTATACTAAAGAATAATATCTTTAACATTTTTAATGTTAATATCCTTATATTAATATTCTTTAATATATAATAATTATAGTAATCTTTAATATATATAATATTCTTTAATATATTATATATATATAAAATAATATATTAATATATTAAAGAATACTATAATTTTATATACTATAACTACACTAAAGAATAATGTATTTAATATTCTTTAATATTATTATTCTTATAATAATATTATTTAATATATTATATTAAAGAATACTCTAGTTATATTATATTATATATAATATAACTATACTAAAGAATACACAAAGGATACTTACTAAATGATAAAAAGATAATAATGAAAACTTGCGACTCTCTCCAGAGTCTCGACACAGCTTGGCCCTGATTGGCCAAAGAGTCAAAACAATTCACACCAGAATCCAATGAAACAATCACCTGTGGGTAAACAATCTCCAAACACATTCCACATGAGCACAACACAGGAGAAGCAAATGAGATAAGATCTGTTTTGCTTTTCTTTGAGGCATCTCATCTTCCCAGGAGAAAAATCCTGGGTGAAGGGATTTTTTCAGAGAACATGAATGCCACAAGGAACCTCTGGGGATTTGGGGCACCAAACTGAACTGTGGTGGCTCCCTGGGCCCAGGTCCCACGGCTGGGGGAATTTTGGGGTGGCAGCTGCTCCTTTGGCCTCCCTGCAGGCAGCAGCCCCAGCTATGGCAGCGGAGGGTACCCGGGGGACACGGAGCTGCTCACCACCTTCAGCTGGGACGACCGCAATGTGCGCAGGGTGTTCATCAGGAAGGTGAGGCAGGGACACGTCCCTCGCCCTCGGGGCTGGCAGAGCTGGACCCCCAGCCCTGGAGGGCCTGGCTCTGCTGGATTCTGGGATCCATGGATCACACCTCTTCCTGCAGGTGTACGCCATCCTGATGGTGCAGCTCCTGGTCACTGTTGTCATTGTGGCTTTCTTCACCTTCTGGTGGGTGCTCGGTGTGTCCTGGGCCACCTGGGACAGGGCTCTGGGGAGGTTCCTGGGGGTTGTGTCACACCTGGATCCTTTCTGACTGTTCCAATAGAAAAGCAAAGCTGAGGGAACACCCAGAGGTCCCTCAGTCCTTTTGCCCCCATTCCCACCCATGCTGAGGGTTGAACCTCCCATCCTGGGTGATCCCAGGGCTGCTGCCCCTGGCAGTGGCTGCTGGGTTTTCCCTGTGGATTCTTTCTGGCTATTCCAAGAGAAAAGCTGACCTGAGGGAACACTCAGCGGTTCCTCAGTCCTTTTGCCCCCATTCCCACCCACGCTCAGGGTTGGATCCCCCATCCTGGGTGATCCCAGGGCTGCTGCCCCTGGCAGTGGCTGCTGGGTTTTCCCTGTGGGAGTCACCAGATCCCAGCTCCAGGGGCTGCCTTCCCTCCCCTGCTCATCCCCCTCTCCAGCTCGGATGACCGAGCGCTCTGGGTGTGTGTGGCTCATGTTGCCTCCAGAATAAATAATGGATCAGTGCCAGCCTGAGGATTTGGGCTCCCTAATCCCCTGTGGGAGCCATTCCCAGCCAGCTCCAGTGTGGAACTAGGGGAGCAGCACTGCCCTTCCCACCTGGAGCTGGAATTCCTCTCCACAGGCTCAGGCTGCCTGAGGATTCACCCAGGGCTGGGCTTTAATCCCCTGCTCGGGCTGTTCCTGGGTTCATTGAGCAGGGAGCTCTCAGGGACTGGGTTCTCCCTGCTCAGGATCTTTCCTTGTCTTGCAGTGAACCAGTCAAGGGCTACATCCAGACCCACTCTGCCTGGTACTGGGCTTCCTAGTGAGTATCCCTGGCTTTTGCTGTGGCCTTGTGTGCTCCACACAGCCTGGGTGGGGATGTGGGGATGTGGGAAGGGTCTCCAACACTGTCCTGCATGTGAAGCATCACTCCAAAGAGTCCAGGGGCAGCTGGGGAAGGTCATGGAATCATGGAATGGGTTGGGTTGGGTTGGGTTGGGTTGAGAGGGACCTCAAAGCCCATCCAGTGCCACCCCTGCCATGGCAGGGACCCCTCCCACCACCCCAGGCTGGGCAGGGACCCCTCCCACCATCCCAGCTGCTCCCAGCCCCACTGTCCAGCCTGGCCTTGGGCACTGCCTTGGGCACCAATCCATGGCTGAGCCTGAGGTGGGAAATCTCACCTGAATGAGCAAGAGACCCCAAACACTTCCCCAAGAATGGCTCTAGAAACCAGGGTCGAAATAAATACCTGAGTATTTCCTGCAGAAAGCCAGAGAAAACTGGGGAGCTTCCAGGGAAACAGAAACTCCTAGTGAGACCTGGAGGGATGTCCAGGGTACCTTAGAGGGCTCATTTTGGGAAGGTCCTCTGGAAAGCTCCAGAGGTCTCCTTGCAGAGCATTCAGGAAAACACTGCAGAGCCCCATATCTGACACCTGGGAGGATGCTCAGGGCACCATGGAGGCTGAATTCTGGGATTTTCCCCTTGGAAGCCAGGTGTTTGTTGGGGTTTCCATTATGTAATACCCAGTGGGGTGGATTTGGAGGTGTTGGGATGTTCCTGGCCATGTCTGGGTGGGGCTGTCACTCCTGGGGCTCCGTCCCAGAGCCCTGAAGCTGGGGTTCCATTCCTTGGTTCACCCAGCCCAGAATGGGGCTCCCAGGTGCTGGCACCTCCTGGCTCCGTGGTTTCCAGGCTGCTGGCGGGGTCAGTGCTGCTCATTGAGTGTGAGGTGAACTCAGCTTTAATCAGCTCACACCCAAATCAGCAGATGAGACACAGCTTATGTAACCTGGGAGAACCCTCCAAACAGCAGCAGTGGGAGCTCCGGGGCACCAGCAGGGAACCAAAGGTGCTCCAGAGGGCAGCTGGGCTTGGAGAGGCACTGTCACCTCCCAGGGGACACGGGGAGGAGGCTCAGCCCTGCTCAGGTGCCCGCCTTGGCCTCTGTGGTCCCCTCTCCATCTCCCTGCCCAGATGGGGTTCATTCCCTCCTGTTTCCCACTAGAAACACGCCTGGGGCAGCTGGGGGGGTTCTGTCCTGCAGGAATTCCCCCTGGTCATTGTCCCCCTGTGCCCAGGTGAGACCCTACCTGCAGAGCTGCTCCAGCCCTGGGGTCCTGCACAGGGAGGATGAGGAGAGAGCCCAGAGGGGGTCACGGAGCTGCTCCAGGGCTGGAGCCCCTCTGGGGCCAGGCTGGGGGGCTGGGGGTGCTCACCTGGAGAGGAGAAGGGAAAGGAGACCCTGGAGCCCCTTCCAGGCCTAAAGGGGCTCCAGGAGAGCTGGAGAGGAACTGGGGACAAGGGATGGAGGGACAGGACACAGGGAATGGCTTCCAGAGGGCAGTGATGGATGGGATATTGGGCAGGAATTCCTCCCTGTGAGGGTGGTGAGGCTCTGGGATGGATTTCCCAGAGCAACTGCTTCCCCTGGATCCCTGGCAGTGCCCAAGACCAGGCTGAACAGGGCTTGGAGGAATCTGGGACAGCAGGAGATGTCCCTGCCCACAGCAGGGATGGGATGGGATGGGATTTATCGGATGGATTTTAAGGTCCCTTCCTGCCCAGGCCATTCCATGACTTTAATTTTGTGTTTTTTCACTGCTCAGTGAGCCAAGCCCTTCCCTTCATCCCAGTGCCTCCAAATGTTTTTCCAGCTCTGTGCCTGGGTCTCCTTCCCAACCAGACACCTCTGTAATAAAACCTGGGAGCCCCAGGACGTTTTCCCACTGCTGGGATGGCCCCTCAGTGGGAATAAATAAACGCAGAGCAGCCAGGGATGGAGGGCCCTGCTGGCTCTGTGCTCTGACAGTCCCTGCCCAGCTGCTCAGCCGTGTCCAGGCTGCTCCCACTGGGCTTTCCTGGTTTCCCAGTGGGAGAGCTGGGCCTGCCTTTATCTCTGTGCCCTGGGCTCTGCTGTCACCTCCCTGCCCTGGCCGAGGGTCAGTGGCTATCGGAGCCATCGGCACTGCTGCCCTGGGGGGAGCAGGGAGCAGGGCCTGGAAAAACACCCAGCCATGGGCAGGAGGGCAGGAGAGCCTCCTTCAGCTCTGCCTCCTGCAGCTCTGGGGCTGCTGTGCTTGGAGAGCCTCAAATGCTGGCAGGTAAAACCCAAAACCTGCCAGGACCTGGGTGGGGCTGGGCAGCCACTGCACCGTGGGCTCTGCTGAGCCAGGAGGGTGCTCCTGCCCTGGGCTTGTCCCTGGGCCTTTTCTGAATGGATCCTCCTGCCCTGGGCTTGTTCTGGATGGATCCTTGTGCTCTGAGCCCTGTTCTGAATGGATCCTCCTGCCCTGGGCTTGTCCCTGAACCCTGCTTTGAATGGATCCTTGTGCCTTGAGCCCTTTTTTGAATGGATCCTTGTGCCCTGAGCCCTTCCCTGAGCAGCTCCTCTTGCCCTGGGCTCTTCCTCAAGCTCTCCAGCAATGGAGTCCTGGAATGGGTTGGAGGAACCTTCAAGTCCCCCCAGTGCCACCCCTGCCATGGGCAGGGACACCTCCCACTATCCCAGGTTTCTGCAATCCCTGTCCAGCCTGGCCTTGTGCACTTCCAGGAATGGAAAGCCCAAAAATTCCCATTCCTGGAGGGATGTGCCATGGGAGCAGCTCCCTCCTCCAGCACAGCCCTTCCTGCCTGAGCCTGGTCACTTTGCCAGCCCTTGGTTTAAGAACCTCCGGCCTTGACACCCCCAGGCTGGAAAGGGTTTGGAAATGAGGGGCAAACCTGGAAATGAGGGGCAGACCTGGAAATTATGACAAACCTGGAAATGAGGGACAAACCTGGAAATTATGACAAACCTGGCATCTCCATGTGAGAAATCCCAGAACCATGGAATCCTGGAATGGTGAAGGTGGGAAAAGCCCCTGGAGACCATGGAGTCCAACCACCAACCCTCCCCTCACCACTGACCAAGTGTCCTGGGTTGATAAGTGAGTTTTTTGGGAGGTTGTGGTCAAACCAATCAGTGCTCAGATCTGGATGTCCCCCACTGCCACTTCCAAAGGCTTTGGACACTTCCAGGGGTGGGATTGCACCACTGCCTGGGCAGCCCCTCCCAGAGCCTGACTTCCCTTTCCATGAAGGAACATTTCCCCAGAGCCAACACAAACTCAGTGGATTTGTGTTTGTCACTCACAACATTTGGGTGCTCTGCTCCAGATCCATCCCTCAGCTTCCCCAGAGATGTTTTGTGCCACCCTGGGGACAAGCACAGGCAGAGGAGGCTCCTGAGGGCAGGAAGGAGCTCAGTGAGAGGGAGCAGGGCTGGGAACCACCCTGATCCAGCCTGCTGGGTGCTTGCATGTCCAACATCCCCATCCCAGGCTGCTTTTCCAGGCAATTCCATTCCACACCTTGCACCACCATCCCAGGCTGCTTTTCCAGGGAATTCCATCCTAGGGAATTCCACCCTCTCGGGCTGCTTTTCCAGGGAATTCCATCCCAGGAAATTCCCCCCTGCTCCACCATCCCAGGCTGCTTTTCCAGGGAATTGCACCCCAAGAAACTCCCCCCTGCACCACTCTCCCAAGCTGCTTTTCCAGGCAATTCCATCCCACCCCCTGTACCACCATCCCAAGCTGCTTTTCCAGGGAATTCCTTCCCAGGGAATTCCACCATGCCTGGCTAGTTTTCCAGGCAATTCCATCCCATTGAATTCCACTCTCCCAGTCTGGTTTTCCAGGGAATTCCGTCCCAGGGAATTCCACCCTCTTGGGCCGCTTTTCCAGGGAATTCCATCCCAGGAAATTGCCCCCTGCTCCACCATTCCAGGCTGGTTTTCCAGGGAATTTCACCCCTGCACCCCCCTCCCAGGCTGTTTTTCCCCCCTCAACTCTCTCTCTCTCTCTGTCTCTCTCTCTCCTTGCAGCGCCGTTTTCTTTGTCACCTACCTGATCCTCGCCTGCTGCTCCGGGCCCAGGTGAGGAGGGGATGCTTTGGGGTCTGGGACAGCCTGGGAAGGCAGCAGGAATGTTCTCCTCGGGTTTCCAGCCCTATTGTAGGGCAGGGATGCAGCTGCTGTGTTTCCATGGGATCACGGAATGCTTTGGGTTGGAAAGGACATTAAATCCCACCCAGTGCCATGGCAGGGACACCTCCCACTGTCCCAGGGTGCTACACTGTCCTGGCCTTGGAGGCTTCCAGGGATCCACAGCTGCTCTGGGGAACTGTTCCAGATGCTGGAAACAGCTGTTCCAGGCCTTGGCTTGCTGCAGCTCAGGAGTCCAATATCAGCCGTGGCTTCAGCAGAAACTGCCCTGCAGCAATGCTGTGAGGGCCCTGATGGAGGAGGAATGGTGCATCTGACCCCATGGATAGCAGAAGGCTAATTAATGAATTTATTATACTATATTATATACATTCTAATGACTTTATTATACTGTACTATGTACATTTCATCTAAACTGGATCTGCCAAGCACTCACTCTGCACACCCTGCACAAAATCCCATGACTGTCACAGTCACACACACACACACACCTGGTCCTGACAGGCCAAGGGAACAAACATCCTCACTTTGGGTCAACAATCTCCAAATTGCGTTCTACACAGGCACAGCAAGTGATAAGAATTGTGTTTTCCCTTTCTCTGAGCTTCAGAGAATGTGAATCCCAGAAATCCTTGGGAAGAATTGTGCCTTGCTTTTCTCTGTGAAGAGAAATGTGGCAGCACCACCCCGTTTGCAGCTCTGGGTTCTGGGAATTAAACATTCCAGAGGATGCTCTTGCCAGCTCCCAGGGGAGCAGGAATATCCTGGGGACCTCTGTCCTGCTGGCCCAGGAGGACCCCAAATGCCCCTGGTGACTGTGCCCTGCGCTGCCCCAGCACTTGTGCACAGGGCACTAATTACCAGCATGGACATTAATTGCCCATTAATAGCCATTAATTACCCTCACAATCACTAATTACCCCATGGTCAGGGGTTCCCTGGCACAGCCCCAGCTGACTAACCCCTGTTTGCTTTGCAGGAGATACTTCCCATGGAATCTGATCCTGCTCAGCATCTTTGTGAGTGGCACATCTGGCCAACATCTGCCCTGGGGTCAGGGTGGCTCCCAGGACAAGGCTGGAATTCCTGGGGAAAAGTGGGAATTTCATTCCCTTCTTGTCCTGGGCTTGGGCTGAGGAGCTGGGGTTGCACTGGGATGGGAGGAGCTGGATAGAAAGGGAGCCTCTGTTTGTTAAAAACAGCAAAAAATAATCTGTGGGGTCTGGTGGGAACTGGGGTGGGAGCAGGGATGGGAACTGGGATTGGAGCTGGGAGGGGAACTGGGATTGGAGCTGGGAGGGGAACTGGAATGGGAACTGGGGTGGGAAGTGGGATTGGAGCTGGGATGGGAACTGGGGGGAGAACTGGGATGGGAACTGGATGGGAACAGGGATGGGAACTCAGGTGGGAAGTGGGATGGGAGCTGGGATGGGAACTGGAATGTGGAAGGGAAGCTGGGATGGGAGCTGGGATGGGAGCAGGGATGTGGAAGGGAAGCTGGGATGGGAGCTGGCTCCTGTGTGGGAGGGATGCAGGAGCAGGGGCTCCTCCAGTGCCATTTGCCCTCCCTCTGCCCTCTCCTGTGCCCATCAATCGCTGGAAGGTCCAAATGCTGCCCCAGCTCCTTCTCCTGAGAGCCTGGGAGGCTCCCGTGCCCCTTTCTCTGGGACTGAGGGATTTCCTGTGGGATTTCCTGGTGTCTGTTCTGGGCAGGGGGGCACTAACCAGGCTGTGTTCTCCCCCAGACCCTGTCCATGGCCTATCTCACTGCCATGCTCTCCAGGTGGGTTGGGCACTGCCCTGTGTCCTGTCTCTTCCTGAAAGCATTCCCTGTTCCTGAGCTCCCAGCAGCCACACAAAGCTGGAGCTTCCCTGTGAGACTTCCCAGGGAAGGTTCCCAAGGCTGTCCCTGTGCCAAGGGAGGCAGCACTGGGGGATCCCACATCCCAAATCCTGCAGGAGAGCCCTGGAGGGGCAGCACCTGGAGGGGCTGCAGGTGACCTCTCTGTGATCCCCCATTTCTCACTGGGCAGGTCCCAGGCAGGTGGAGCTGCAGTGAGCCAAGGGATTTGTTCCAGCAGGTTCAGGAGTTTGTATCCCCCAGCCTGTTCCCTTCTGCTCATTCACACCAGGAAATCTGCAATGTGCTCCTGGCTCATGTGGGAGCCTGGAGAGAGGGCCATGATCCAGCCTGGGTGAGGGATGGATGCATGGGGACAAAGAAATCCCTGGCCTCAGCAGCTGCAGGGGAAAACTCCACACAAATCCCCCAGGGAGAGCAAGGCTGGCTTTTCCAAGGGCTGAGCCTGGCACTGCAGCCAGAACCCTGATCCAGCCTGGAAACCCTTCCTGAGCCTGCAGCCCCTGTCCCTGTCCCAGCCCCTGCTTTTCCTACAGCCACACTGGGCAGGAGCTGGGGCTGCTCCTTTGCTTTCCCCTCATGCTGGGGGGACTTTTGTCACCCTGGTTTTGTCACCTCCCAGTCAGGACCTTCCCCTCTCCCTGTCTGTCCATGGACAGTGGGATTGGTGAGCTTGGAGCTGCTCTGGGAGGCCCAGATGGATCCTCCTGCCTTCCCTCCATCCTTCAAAACAGCAGGAAAACTGTGACGGTGTTCACAGGGGTTCTTGGATTGGGGAAGAGACGAGGATCTGACTCCGTCTTTCAGAAGGCTTGATTTATTATTTGATGATATATATTAAATTAAAACTATACTAAAAGAATAGAAGAAAAGGTTTTATCAGAAGGCTGGCTAAGAATACGATAGGAAAGAATGATAACAAAGGTTTGTGGCTTGGGCTCTGTGTCCGAGCCAGCTGGGCTGTGATTGGCCATTAATTAGAAACAACCACATGAGACCAATCACAGATCCACCTGTTGCATTCCACAGCAGCAGATAATCATTGTTTACATTTTGTTCCTGGGGCATCTCAGCTTCTCAGGAGGAAAAAACTTCAGGAAAGGATTTTTCATGAAAGTTGTCTGCGACAGGAGGGGGCTGCTCTCCCTTCTGTCACAGGAATCTTTGGATGAGGGAAGAGACGAGGATCTGATTCTATATTTCAGAAGGCTTGATTTATTATTTTATGATATATATTACATTAAAACTATACTAAAAAAATAGAAGAAAAGGTTCTCTAAGAATAAGGAGCAGAAAGAATGATAACAAAGGTTTGTGGGTCAAACTCTCTGTCCGAGCCAGCTGACTGTGATTGGCCATTAATTAGAAACAACCACATGAGACCAATCACAGGTGCACCTGTTGCATTCCACAGCAGCAGATAATCATTGTTTACATTTTGTTCCTGAGGCCTCTCAGCTTCTCAGGAGGGAAAATCCTAAGGAAAGGATTTTTCATAAAAGATGTCTGCGACAGAAAACCCATCCAAGCTTTTTTCCATCCTTCGTTTTCCAGCATTAGTGTGGCATGTTGATAATTCCAGCCCTCCAGGCTGTTTGTGCCTGTAGGGTTCCTTGCCCAGCTGAATCCCCTTTCCCATCCCTGGGAATGACCCCAATTTGGTTTTCCTGGTCGTTTTGCAGCTACTACAACACCAAGTCGGTGCTGCTGTGCCTGGGGATCACGGCCCTGGTCTGTCTGTCTGTTACCATCTTCAGCTTCCAGAGCAAGGTGGGGACATCCCTCGGGAGGGGACCCTGGGGCAGGACAGGGGGAGCTGGGGGTGTCTGGGAATGGGGCCAGCCCCAGGAATGTGGGGGTGGCACCAGGAGGTTGGAGTGGATCAGGACATGTGCTGGGGAGGGACGTGGCTGCGATGGAAGTGGGGCTAGAAAATGGGGATATAGGGGAATAAAATGAGATTTTTTTTTTTGTGGATTGGGGTGGGGGCTAGAAGATGGTGATTTATGGGAATGAAATGAGATTTTGTAGATTGAGGTGAGGGCTAGAAGATGCTGATAAATGGGAATAAAATGAGATTTTTTTAAATAGATTTGGGTGGGGGCTAGAAGATGCTGATAAATGGAAAAAAAAAGATTTTTTGTGGATTGGGGTTGGGGCTAGAAGATGGTTATTTATGGGAATAAAATGAGAAATTTTTGTGGATTGGGGACTACAATGGATGGTGATATATGGGAATAACACAAGATTTTTTTGTGGATTGAGGTGGAAGCTAGAAGGTGGTGATATAGAGGAATAAAATGAGATTTTTTTTGTGGATTAGGGGCTAGAAGATGCTGATTTATGGGAATAAAATGAGGGTTTTTTGTGGATTGGGGTGGGGGCTAGAAGATGCTGATACATAGGGATAAAATGGGATTTTTTTTGTAGGTTGGGGTGAGGGCTAGAATATGCTGACATATAGGAATAAAATGGGATTTTTTTTGTGGATTAGGATGAGGACTAGAAGATGCTGATATATGGGAATAAAATGGGATTTTTTGTGGATTGGAGTGGGGGCTAGAAGATGGTGATATACAGGAATAAAAGGAGAGAGTTTTTTGTGGATTAGAGGCTAGAAGATAGTGATTTATGGGAATAAATTGAGATTTTTTTTTGTGGATTGGGGTGGGGGCTAGAAGATGCTGATATGTATGTAATAAATTAAATGAGATTCTTTTGTGGATTGGGGTGAGGGCTAGAATATGGTGATATATGGGAATAAAATGAGATTTTTTGTGGATTGGAGTGGGGGCTAGAAGATGCTGATACATAGGGATAAAATGGGATTTTTTTTGTAGGTTGGAGTGAGGGCTAGAATATGCTGACGTATGGGAATAAAATGCAATTTTTGTGGATTGGAGTGGGGGTTAGAAGGTGGTGATATATAGGAATAAAATGAGAGATTTTTTTGTGGATTAGGGGCTAGAATATGGTGATATATGAGAATAAAACCAGATTTCTTTTGTAGATTGAGGTGGGGGCTAGAAGATGGTGATATACGAGAATAAAATGAGATTTTGTTATAGATTGGGGTGAGGGCTAGAAGATGCTGATAAATGGGAATAAAATGGGATTTTTTTGTGGATTGAGGTGTGCCATAGGTGCACATGGGACTGGAAGTTGCTGATGTGTGGGAATAATCTGGGATTTTTGGAGGATTGGGATGTGCCAGGGATGTCAGAGGGGCTGGAACAGACTGCAGGGTGGCGAACTGGGAGTTTCAGAGGGCTGGGCTGTGGGACACAGGAGGACGCTGGTGTGTGATGGGTTTGGGGTTCCTTTGGTGGGAGCTGAGCCCTTCCCTGTGGCTCTGAGGGGATTTGGGGGCGCGGGCTGGGAGGGAGAGGCAGAACCAGCCCCGGGTGGGTCCCGGGGGCTGCAGCAGCGTCAAACCCAGCCCTGAACACGTCCCTGCAGTACCAAGGCTGGTCTAAGGCCTTGCAGGGTCCTGGGTTCTGTCAGCCTCACTTTTGGAGAAATCCAGCGAAATTTGCCAATTTCCAGCTTGGCACTGTATTATTGGCAAGTACTCGTGGCCGCAGAGGGAGGCCATTTCCCAGGGAAAGAGAAATCCTTTCTCAGGGTATGGGTATCAGCTCAGAGGTGGCCTTTAGGGCTCGAAGGATTTGCAGGGGCCTCCTTGCTGGCAGCTTTAGTTTTGGAGAAATCCAGCAAAGTTTGCCCATTTCCAGCTTGGCACTGTATTATTGGCAAGGGCAAGTGGCCGCAAATGGAGGCCATTTTCCATGGGAAAAGGAAGTGATTTCCCCAGGGTCTGGGTATCAGATTAAAGGTGGCCTTTAGGGCTCAAAGGACTTGCAGGGTCCTCCTTGGTGGCAGCTTTTGTTCTGGAGAAATCCAGTAAATTTTGCCAATTTTGAGCTTGGCCCCACCCTGTTGGCCAGGGTGAGTGGCCACAAATGGAGCCCATTTTCCATGGGAAAAATAAGTCTTTTCCACAGGATCTAGGTATTAGCTCAGAGGTGGCCTTTAGGGCTCAAAGGACTTGCAGGGTCCTAGATGGTAGCAGCCTTATTTTAGGAGAAATCCAGCAAATTTTGCCAATTTCTAGCTTGGCCCCACCCTGTCCGCCAGGGTGAGTGGCCGCAAATGGAGACCATTTTCTGTGGGACAAGTAAGCCCTTTCCCCAGGGTCTGGGTATCAGATTAAAGGCAGTGTTTGGGGCTCGAAGGACTTGCAGGGTCCTCCTTGGTGGCAGCTTTAGTTTTGGAGAAATCCAGCCAAGTTTGAAAATTTCTCACTTGACACCGCCTTATTGTCCAGAGCAAGTGACCACAAACAGAGGCCATTTTCTGGGGGAAAAAGAAGTAATTTTCCCAGAGTCTGGGTATCAGCTCAGAGGTGGCCTTTAGGGCTCTAAGGACTTGCAGGGTCCTAGTTGCTGGCAGGTTTAGTTTTGGAGAAATCCAGAAAAGTTAACAAATTTCTTGCTTGGCACTGTATTATTGGCAATAATGAGTGGCCGCCGTTGGAGGCCGTTTTCCAGGGAAAGAGAAATCCTTTCTCAGGGTCTGGGCACAGCTCAGGGCTGGCACCTGGGGCTCCCCTGGTGCAGCCCCTGGTACAGAAGCCCCTCCCTCCCTCCTTCCCTCCCCTCTGCAGTTCGACTTCACCTCGTACCAGGGCGTTCTCTTCGTGCTGCTCATGGTGCTGTTCCTGGGGGGGCTGGTCCTGGCTGTCATCCTGCCCTACCAATACGTGAGTGATAACCGCGCCAAACTGGGACAAACTGGGCGTGCTGGGAGGGGGGGCCCAGCTCCCTGACAATGGTGGGAACCCCCATGGAGGGCTGGGAGAGCAGGGTCATTCCCTGGGATGGACCATGGGGTACAAGGATGGAGCTGGCCCAGGGCTGGGGATGTTTCCTGCTGTTCCTGATTTTGGTTGGGAGGGACCTCAAGAAGGGACACAGTGGGAAGTGTGGGGGTGAGATGGGATGGGCTTTAAGTCCCTTCCCACCCAGGATCCCATGATTTCCACAGGACAGGTGCTGGGGCCACAGTTGATGGAGAAGTTCAGGAGCTAGATGGACACAGGGGCTCAGGGAGCGAAGGTCCAAGGCCCCGTGTCCTGCTCTGTGCCACACAAACATTCCCAGGGCACTGCACCAGCTGGAGGTGCTGCAAACCCAGCCTGGGCTTTTGGGGCCTCTCCAAAACTTCCCCCTCCAGCTGGGAGCCAAGTGCCTGGGGAGGGAAATCCTGCACAGCCCATTCTGTGCGGCTCTGACGGCTGTGTCCGTGTGTCCCTGTCCATGTGTCCCTGTCTGTGTGTCCCTATCTGTGTCCGTGTGTCCATGTGCGTGTGTCCATGTCCGTGTGTCCCTGTCCATGTCCGTGTGTCCCTGTCCATGTGTCCCTGTCTGTGTGTCCCTATCTGTGTCCGTGTGTCCATGTCCGTGTGTCCCTGTCCATGTCCGTGTGTCCCTGTCCATGTGTCTCATTGTCCTTGTCTGTGTGTCCCTGTCCATGTGTCTCTGTGTCCTTGTCTGTGTGTCTGTGTCCATGTGTCCATGTCCATGTGTCCATGTCCCTGTGTCCCTATGTCTGTGTATCCCTGTCCCTGTGTCCATGTCCCTGTGTCCATGTCCGTGTGTCCGTGTGTCCGTGTTCTGCAGGTCCCGTGGCTCCACGCGATCTACGCTCTACTTGGGGCTGGGATCTTCACCATGGTGAGTGCCTTGTCCTGGGGCCCAGCAGGGAAAACAGCAGGGAAAGGAGCTGGAACCTGGGGGAAAAACAGTGGGGAAAGGAACTGGGAAAACAGCAGGGAAAGGAGCTGGAACTGGCAGGGAGCTGGGGCAGGGATGGAGCCAGGGCAGGGATTGGAGCCTCGCAGGGAACCAGGGAAAGGAGCTGGAGCCAGGGCAGGAGCTGGAGCCTGGCAGGGAGCTGGGGCTGGGATTGCAGAGCTCAGGGCGGCCCCCGGAGCAGCGATCCCGGCAGAAGGTGCCACAGACGTGTCCGTGCCCACGCCAGTGCCAGTGCCCATGCCCGTGCCAGTGCAGGGCATGGTGTGAGTGCCAAGCTGTGCAGGGTGAGCAGTCCTGGCTGGGTTGCTCTGCAGGGATCAGAGACAGGCCAGAGGTGCCTCTGGAGTGGAGCAGGCAGAGCTGAGCTTGCAGAGCCCCGGGAGCGAGGCGATGCAGGGATGAGGCTGCACGGTGGAGTCGGGGCCGGTCGGGTGAGAGCGCGCCAAGGCTCGAGATGAGTTTGGCTCACAGAGGTGCAGAAAACCAGGGAAGGCTGAGATTGGGGATTAGGAGGCATTAGGAGGGTTTACATAGGCGGAAAAAGCCCTGGAGCTGGAGCTCCTCCAAGGAGAGGCTTGGGCAGCTCCTGCAGGGAAAGGCCTGGGCAGCTCCCAGGGGTCCATCCCCAGCCCCCCCTTCCCGAGCGAGTCCCGGTCCCTGTGCTGGGATCCAGCCACTGCAGGTGCCACCGGTGCCCGGTGCTCCCAGAGCTGGGGCAGTGCATGGAGAGATGCCCAATGCTCCTGGGACGGTGCCCGCAGAGTGCCCGGTGCTCCCGGGGCCGGGGCAGTGCCTGTGGAGGTGCCCGGTGCTCCCGGTGCTCCCGGTGCTGCCCTGGCTCCGAGGCGGTGCCCATTGGGCACGTTGGGAATGGGAGCAGTTGAGCAATTGCCTTGATCACCCATAAAAGTCACTCCGAGGGAGCGCGGGGAGCTCGGCGCTGATTCACGGCTTAAGATCCCTCTGTAAAATACAAGGAGGCTTCAACATCTGATAATTACCCCATAAACATCAGTCAGAGCCTGGGCCTGGCCCTGCCGGGGCAGCTGGGCTGGGATTTGTTCCGGGGGGATAAAGGAGCAGCTCTGGAGGATGGTGCAGCCCTGGAGAGCTCTGGGCCCGTGAGGGGCAGCAGGATGGCAGAAGGAGGAAAGGGAGGGAGGGAGGAGAAAATGGTGGATTTCAGTCACACCTGGGATTTCTGGCGGAGCTGCTCCGTATCCTGTTGGGGCCGGGCCACCCTGTGAGCACCTCGTTCCCTGGCTGGTGTTTCCCACCCGAGGGAAGTGTGGGAATAGTTATGGGCTCTGGGATGAGGAGGAGGAGGGAGGGTGGCTCCAGAGCTGGCCCTGGGATGGAGGAGGCCTGAGGGAAGAGGCCTGGAGTGGGAGCTGCACTCGGGGTTTGATTGTCAGGGGGGAAATGAGGGAAGGGGAAAGTTGCAGCTCATTCAATGCCGTGTTCTGAGCTCCTAAATTGTGGCTACAGCACATAAAAAGGGCTGCACCCCAATCCAGGGGATTTCTCCTGTCATCAGAGCCCTTCTTGCCTCCCTGGGCCAAAGCTCCCTGTCACTGGCCTGGGGTTTCCTCCCTTCCCTTCCAGTTCCTGGCCCTGGACACGCAGATGCTGATGGGGAACCGCCGCTACTCGCTGAGCCCCGAGGAATACATCTTTGGAGCCCTCAACATCTACCTGGACATCATCTACATCTTCTCCTTCTTCCTGCAGTTCTTTGGCTCCAGCCAGGAGTGAGGGCAGCGGGGCAGGATGCTCCCCGTGCTGGCAGATGTGAGGGGTTAGATGGAAAAGCAGAGGTGAAAGGGTTCAAACCCGCCAGCCTGACCCAATCCCTCCCTTTCTGGTCCATCTGAGGGGCCCCAGGCCCCTCCTGCAGCTTTGTACATTTGCTGCCAGGCCTTTGTGACCCAGAGAGCAAAGCAGGGCTTCAGTGTCGTGTCCCTTCTGCTCCCCCCAGTCCCGCCCAGCCCAGTCCAGAGGCTGGGGCAGAGACTGGGACCTTCCCAGCCCCAGGGGCTGCTGGAGGTGCCCTCTGAGTGCTGCCCATCACGGGGTGAGAGCTGTGACCAAACAGAAGAGAGGGCAGCAGAGCAGAGAGTTTGGTCAGATCCTGGCAGGAAAAGCCTTGGGGAATCCTGGCATTGCCCTGTTCCCCACAATCCATTGGAGCTCGGTGGCCTCTGTGCTATTCCTGGTGACTCCTGCTGTTGGAAAGGTGGAGTGTGGGATCACGTAGCTGGATTTCAGTGCTCCAGGCACAGGGAACCTGTTTGTTCAGGACGTGCAGCTCTCTGAGGTCATCCCTGGTGCCACTGCAGGGAAAATTCCCCTGGATCCCTTGCATCTGGCTGAGTGCCCTTCCCTTCCCTTCCCTTCCCTTCCCTTCCCTTCCCTTCCCTTCCCTTCCCGGATCCATGGCTCTCCCCCAGGGGACTGTGCTGGTTCTTTTTGAACTGTGGCTCCTCACGGGGGGAATTTGGGATCCCAGGGAAGGAACGTTTCAGGAGATGGCAGAGACGAGCTGGAGGAGGCTGAGTTTCCATGCTGGGAAATGCCATCCCCTGTGGGATCCTGTGACCCACCCTGAGGCTGTGACACCCTCACAGAACTGTCCTGGTTGCTCCAAATTTGGGTTCCTAAGGGATTCTTTGCAGGGGCTGAGGCCATTGGAGCAGCAATGTCCCTCTCCCTGGCTGTTCTCCATTTCTCCTCTCCCAAAGGGGAATGTCAGCGCGGGCTCTGGATGTGCTCAGGTAAATTTCCACCGTCCCCGCTCACATTCCCTGTCCGGGGCTCAGCTGGCTGATCTGGGGCTGTAAAGCTCCCCAGGGAGATAAGGGCCCTTTTGCTCTCATTCCAAGAGTGATCCGTGCTGCAGATAGGAGCTGGTATCTCCCATCTCGCTGGGAATGCCGCGAGTGCTGCGTCAGGAGCTGCCTCCAGCGATTCCTGCTGCACAGGGGCTCTGCCAGAGCGCTGGAACGTTCCTGCTCCTTCTGCCCTGGCTTTTACCCCACACATGTGCTGCCCTCCTGCCCCACGTGCCCAGGGAAAGTTACTGGGCAGGGAAGGGAAACGCTCTGGCCCCTCTGTGGCTGCAGTGATGAGCACTGCAGTGATGCCTTCCCCTTGTCTTCCTTCCTTCTAAAACAACCCCCCCAAAAAAACCCCAACCAGAACAAAAAACCCCAGTCAGACACAAAAAAACCTAACCGGATCAAAAAGTATCAACCAGATCAAAAAACCCCCAACCAGACCAAAAAAGCCCAGTCAGACCAAAAAATTCTCATCCAGATCAAAAAGCCCCAGTCAGACACAAAAAACCCCCAAACAGACAAAAAAACCCCCAGTCAGACCAAAAAAACTCCAACCAGACCAAAAAATCTCAACCAGATCAAAGAAACCCCAACCAGACCAAAAAACCCAGTCAGACACAAAAAACCCCAACAGACCAAAAGCCCCACAACCAAACCAGAAAATCTGTGACTGGGCAAAAAAATCCCCAACCAGACTAAAAAATTCTCATCCAGATCAAAAAAAAACCCCAATCAGACCAAAAATCCCCAGTCAGACACAAAAAACCCCAACCAGACAAAAACCCCACAATCAGACAAAAAAGACCCCAGTCAGACACAACCCCCCCACACCAGATCAAAAAACCTCAACCAGACAAAAAATATCTCATCCAGATCAAAAAAATCTCATCCAGATCAAAAAACCCCAACCAGACAAAAAAGACCCCAGTCAGACACAAACAGCCCCAGATCAAAATCTCAACCAGATCAAAAAAAACCCAACCAGCCCAAAAAATCCCTGACTGGGCAAAAAAAACCCCCAACCAGACCAAAAAATTCTCATCCAGATCGAAAAAAAACCAGTCAGACACAAAAAAACCCCCAACCAGACAAAAAAATCTCAATCAGATCAAAAAAAACCCCAACCAGACAAGAAAACCCCAGCCAGACACATAAAACCCCAACCACACAAAAAAATCTCATCCCAAAAATAAAAAAAACTCCAACCACATCAAAAAACCCAGTCAGACACAAAAACCCCCAACCAGACCAAAAAATCTCATCCAGATAAAAAAAAAAACCAACTAAAAAAACCCAACCAGACAAATAATACCCAGTCAGACTCAAAAAATCCCAGATCAAAATCTCAACCAGACCAAAAAACCCCAGTCAGACCAAAAAACCCCAACCAGACCAGAAAATCTCTGAGTGGACAAAAAACCCCAACCAGACAAAAAAAAAAAAAAAAAAAAAAACCCAAACAAAAAAACCCCAAACAAACAAACAACAACAAAAAAAAAAAAACGACAAAAAAACCCCAACCAGACCAAAACCCCCAAGCAAAACTGAATTCTTTTTGGGATGAAGGACAGCACGAAGTGATGGCAGCAGGGAGTTCGTGCCCTGCTGGTTCCTGCTGAGGAGACCCAAACCCTTGGATTGCTGAGCAGGCAGGGCTGGGAATGGCACAGGAGGAACCCTAAAAATGGATGGAATTGGAGTTCCAGGAGGGAATTTCCCAGCCCTCAGCAGCCTCTCCTTGCTCACAGTGATTTCCTGTAGGGATTTGTGCTTTCCAGGCTTGGAGGGAGGAGTGTGGAGCTCCATGATGAGCTCTGGCTCTGAAATAGTCCCAAAACTCCTCCAAAATGCCCTGCTGGGAGATGGGGAGGAACACAGGGACCTGCAGCCCCCTCTGGAATTGTTCTTGTTCCTTCTGCTGTGGAGAAACTTTGCTGCTGCTGCTGCATCCTGGCTTTGCTGCTGATATATCCTGACCTTTCTGCAGATATATCCTGGATTTCTGCTGATATATCCTGGCTTTGCTGCTGATATATCCTGGCTTTCTGCTGATATATCCTGGCTTTGCTGCTGATATATCCTGGCTTTTCTGCTCCTATTGGGAACACCTGGCATGACCCCACTCCAGGCACCTGGCTGGGGGGGATTTCCACCCTCCTGCGTCCCTTGCACAATTCCTGGTCCCTTTTCCACGCTGATCCCACCCCAGGCAGCCCTGGTGGATGCTGAGCTCTGTCCTGCTCGTGGAGCTGGAGCTCCTCAGGAGGGTCAGGGATGCAGGATTTGGGGTGGGATGTGGAGGCTGCTCCCCCTCCTCCTGTGTCCTCCACCCCAAGTCCTCATCCAGCTCCAAATCCCAGTCCTTTGGAGAGGTCGTTCCTGTGATTTCACTGTAAATAGGATTTTGTATCTTCTCTGACTATTGCTAATAAATGGTTGCAAAACTCTTCCCGTGCCTGTTGCTGCTCTGGTTGTGCAGGTGCTGCTTCACCACCTTCAGATGTGAACAAGGCCCTGGCATGGCCCAGAGGTTTAACGGAGCCCGAGTCACCTCTTCCCTGGTTATGAGTAAGGAGAACATCCCACACACAGCAATAAAAGCACAAGGATCTGGAACAGGTGGCATGGGTGAGGAACTGAGGGAAAAAATGCTCCTGGAATGAGGGATTTGCTCCCTTTCCCACAGGATTCAAAGTTCAGTGAGTGGGAGAAGGCTCCAGTTCCAAGGGAATTTTCTGCCATGCTGGAGCTTTCCCAAGGGTAAATGGAGGAAAAAAAAAATTCCTCCAGGGACAATTCACCACCTCAGAGCAATAAAAGCACAAGGATTTGGAACAGGTATCATGGGTGAGGAACAGCTGGGAACTGAGGGGAAAAAAGGCTCCTGGAATGAGGGATTTGCTCCCTTTCCCTCAGGATTCAAAATTCAGTGAGTGGGAGAAGGCTCCAGCTCCAAGGGAATTTTCTGCCAGCTGGAGCTTTCCCAAGGGTAAATGGAAGAAAAAATTCCTCCAGGGACAATTCACCACCCAAAATGAGAGGTAAACTCCCATCTGGGAGACCTAAGCTGCAAACTGCACTGGGAGAGACAAACTCCATCTCACTCCCTCAGCTCTGAAGGGATGGTTGTCCAGGACAGAAATCCCAGTGCAGCAGGGATTGGATCCTTCCCAAAAGCCGTCTGTGCTTTTGGGAAGGTGTCAAACCCAAAATGTGTGGAATTTGGTTCCTGGGAAGTGATGCTGAACAGCCAGGAGGGATTTTCCTGCATTTTCTGTAGAATTATTCTGAAATATTCCCACACAGATAATGAGGTGTCCAAATTCTGGATTGAATTATTCTGGAACATTCCCACACAGATAATGAGGTGTCCAAGAGCAGGTGGATGAGGCATCATCAGGGTTCCCTGGAATTACCACAGACGTGATGAAAGGCTGATGATTCCATCAAATTTCAGCTCTGGGCTTTTGGATGCTCAGGCAAAAATTGGGATTAATTGGGCTGGAGCCATGAAAGGAAGGATGGAGGGATGCAGGACAAGGAGGAAGTTTGGTCAGGGTGTGGGAGATGCTGGAGGGAGGAAGGGATGGAGCTGCTTCCCATGCCTGTTGAAAACAGGAATTTGGGGGCCCTAAATCCAGCCAGAGAGAGTCAGAGGAGACTTCAGACCCCTAAATTCCATTGCTTGGAGAAGGAGGAAAATTGTATTTATTTTTGCACCTATTTCTGTCTTTCTTCTGTGGCCAGGGGTCCCACACAGGGAGGATGAGGAGCTGCTGGATCAGCCCAGAGGAGGCCCCAGAGCTGCTCCAGGGCTGGAGCCCCTCTGGAGCCAGGCTGGGAGAGCTGAGGGTGCTCACCTGGGGAGGAGAAGGGAAAGGAGACCCTGGAGCCCCTTCCAGGCCTAAGGGGGCTCCAGGAGAGCTGGAGAGGGGCTGGGGACATGGGATGGTGTCACAGACACATTTTCTGAAAAACCCTTTCACTAGGATCTTTTCTTCTGAGAAGCTGGGAGGCTTCAGCTTCTCCATGTTTTGCTGCTTTGGAATGTGATGTGGAGAATTGTTTACCCAGCATGTGAATGGTTTTTACTTGATGACCAATGACAGCCAGCTATGCGAGGCTGTGAGCAGTCCAAGCAGGGAGGCTGGGCTTGCACTTAGAACTTCTGTTAATTTAATAAAACCTTGTAAAGCCATGGCCCCACTATCCATGCCAAAAGCCAAGTATATGGTGTCATTTCAATTTCCAACGAAATTATAATCTGTATTTTTTTGTTTGTTCTTGAGCAGTCACAAGAATTTATTATTCCTTTCTTTGCTAGCCTTCTGATGAAATCCTTTCTCTTTCTTTAGTGTAGTCTTAGTATAGCATTTTTAATATAATATATATAATGAAATAATAAATCAGCCTTCTGAAGCATGGAGTTAAGACTCTCATCTCTTCCCTTGTCGAGGTTGCCTGCAAATTCCACAGGATGGAGGGACAGGACACAGGGAAGGGCTTCCAGTGCCAGAGGGCAGGGATGGATGGGAGATTGGGAATTGGGAATTGTTCCTTGGGAGGGTGGGGAGGGCTGGGATGGATTTCCCAGAGCAGCTGTGGCTGCCCCTGGATCCCTGGCAGTGCCCAAGGCCAGGCTGGACAGGGCTTGGAGCAACCTGGGACAGTGGGAGGTGACCGTGCCGTGGCAGGGGTGGGATGGGATGGGATGGGATGGATGGGATGGATGGGTGAGATGGGATGGGATTTATGGGATGGATGAGATGGATTGGGATGGGATGGGATGGGATGGGATGGGATGGGATGGGATGGGATGGGATGGATGGATGGGATAGGATGGGATGGGATGGGATTTATGGGATGGATGGGATGGATGAGATGGCTTGGGATGGGATGGGATGGCTTGGGATGGCTTGGGATGGGATGGGATGGGATGGGATGGGATGGGATGGGATGGGATGGGATAGGGTGGGATTTATGGGATGGATGGGATGGATGAGATGGGTTGGGATGGGATGGGATTTACAGGATGGATTTTAAGGTCCGTTCCCACCCAAACCATTCCCATGAAAACACAGAAGTGCCGATGCAGGGAGCTGGAGAGTTTCACCTGCATTTGTGAGCTCCAGGCGCCCTCTGCTCCTCACGCTGTGCTTGAAACCAGCAGCAAGTGAAACCCAGCCCGCTGCGCCAGCTTAACCGTGAAAAACGCCAATCGCTTGTTTTTAAAACGTTAAAAGTTTAATAGTAATAAAATGGTTATAAAAATAGTAATATAATTAGAGTAATAATAATTTGAACAATTGAGATTTAGGACAATATGAGACAATAGAAACAAAGAGTTACAGACAGTCCGGGTACCTTTTCTGGGCAAAATAAGCCCGAAAAAGGACCCACGTTAGCACAGGATTAACCCTTAAAAGCAACAGCCTGTTCCATATTCATACACCTCATCCATGATGCATAAATTCCATTCAAACACAGGATTCTGTCTGGGCAGTGCCAGCTTCTTCCTCTGAATACTGATGGCATCTTCGAGCCTGAGCAAGGCAGGAAGAAGTTAATTTCTTCTGATAATGGAGCAATAAATTCTCTTTCTCTGAAAGATTTAGGTGTCCTGTGGCTGCTGTCTCAGTGCGAGTACCTCATGCCTCTCTCAAAAAAAGTATCTTACATAGCACAGCTTCTATTTTAACATTATGTTATAACCTAAAACTATGTTTAACACACTACTTAAGAGAATTAATACAGCACACTTTTCTAACACAACACATATTCAATTTAATATTTGCAAAAAGCCAATCGTAAAATATGCATTTTTCACATTAACCCTAAACCTGCACCAGGGCCCTTAACCTGGACCTCCCCTCCTCTTAAACCCCCCTTTAACTGGGAACTTTCATTTTCTTCTGTTTTAAAACTTCTCTCAGCTGCAGCCTGTGGGGTCCTGGCCACCCCCAGCTCAATCATGTGTTTAATTGTGATTTAAATAACTTGAATTTGTTATTGATGTGTACAAGGTATATTATTATATTACTATATTATTATATTATTGTTTTCTATTTTAAAATTCTATTTCTTGTTTTTATTTATAATAATCTTTATTTCTTTTAAAATTTAGTTATTATTTAATATTTTCATCTTATTATTTTCTTATTTTTATTTTATTTGTTTATTATTAAGTTTTATTTATTTTTATTTTTCATTTATTATTTTTATTTATTATTTTTTATTTATCATTATTTAATTTATTATTATATTACTATATTATTATTTTATTACTGTATTGTTATATTACTCCATCACTATATTACTATATTATATGGTATATTATATTATATTATATTATATTATATTATATTATATCAATTATTATATATAGTATATCTATACAGTATTTATTTTATAACATCAGTTTATATTATTCAATTATGCTTTCAATAATGCTGCTATAAGTAGCATTTACAGGCTATTTATTTGAAAAAAATTCATATGTTTTATCTGATAAAATATTATTTTTATATTAATTATTTAACATGTACGTGTCATTTAAACCCCAAACTCCGCCAAGGCCTGATACCATCACCATGGCAATGCAGGGTGAGGTTCACAGGGGACACAGGGTGGCTGTCGCTGTCCCCCTGCAGCCTGGCAGGGCCAGACAAGGCTGTGAAAAACAGAAGTCACTGCTTAGAGTTTATAAAAGTTTAAAAATAAAATAAAATAAAATAAAATAAAACAAAATAATTAAAATAACCTTAAAATTTAAGAAAAATAATAAAAAGAAAAATAATAAAATAATAGTGAAAATAAAATAAAATAAAATAAAAAAATTAAAATTAATAAAATAATTAAATAATAAAAATATAAAACTATAAAAATATAAAGATATAAAAATATAATATAATATAATATAAATTTAAAAATTAATAAAAATAAAAAATAAATTAAAAAAAAATAAAATAAAATAAGTAAATAGCAACAACAATTAGAAAGGACAAAATTTCCAGTGCTGGGGTGCTCCAGGCCAACAGCCAAAGAACACCCCGGTGTACACAGACAGTGTTATCTTTATACGGTCACATTGCTGAGGTAAATGCATATTCATGTGTTTCATGCATTATTCAAACATTCTTTTGAACTTTCTGGTGTTTTGGGAACTCCTTTGTTTGACTTCTTCACACTCTGGTTTTTCTGCATGACATCCTGGGTGCCAGGTCGATATATTTTATTTCTTTTATGTCTCCATCCTGCTGTTTCACATCCTCTGATAAAGATTAAGTATTTTCTCCTTAATTTTAGCATGTTATTCTCGAATTGTCCTCCAGTGCTCTAGTTCGTGTCATGGTTATCTTATCACTTGGACAGGTTGGTCAGTGGATGATCTTACACTGGTTTAGTTACACAAAAGCCTTTTTCACATTGTGAAAAACGCCAATCACCTGGTTTTAAAATTTTAAAATAGTAATAAATTTTCATAGTAAAATAGTAACAAATTTTAATAGTAGTACAATGGTTATAAAAAATAGTAATACAATTAGAGTAATAATAATTTGGACTATTTGAATTAGGAAAATATGAGACAATAAAAACAAAGAGTTATGGATGTCTGGGTACCTTTTCTGGACAAAATAAATCCGAAAAAGGACCCACGTTAACAGAGGATTAACCCTTAAAAGCAACAGCCTGTTGCATATTCATACACCTCTTGCATGATGCATAAATTCCATCCAAACACAGGATTCGGTCTGGGCAGTGTCAGCTGCTTCCTCTGGATCCTGACAGCGCCTTCAGGGCTGAGCGAGGCGGGAAGAAGTTCATTTCTCCTGATAATGGAGCAATAAATTCTCTTTCTCTGAAAGATTCAGGTGTCCTGTGGCTGCTATCTCAGTGCGAGTCCTTTCTTGAAAAAAAATATCTTACATAGCACAGTTTCTATTTTAACATTTTGTTATAACCTAAAACAATATTTAACACACTACTTAACAGAATTAATACAGCATTACTTTCTAACACAACACATATAATATTCATTTGAATGTTTGCATAAAGCCAATTATAAAATATGCATTTTTCACAACATCTTATGTTTTGCTAGGGCCTGTAACACAGCACATTCATCACACTGTTATTTCCATAAGTGATATATAAATGTTATATATCTATTATAGATATTATTAATTACACTGCTATTTCTATGAGCAATACAGAGCACAATTAAGCAGATAGATTATATTATACTAACTGAAAGGAGTTAAAATTGATTCTATTTCTAAATAGTTACAATCACTAACAACATGCATAGGCTAATATGTAAATGTGAAAGCCAATATTATCTGGTCGTTTTTCACAGGGTTGTGAAAAATGAGTATTTTATGATTGGCTTTTTGCAAGTATTAAATTGAATATTATATGTGTTGTGTTAGAAAGTGATGCTGTATTAATTCTCTTAAGTAGCGTGTTAAATAGAGTTTTAGGTTATAACAAAATGTTAAGATAGAAACTGTGCTATGTAAGATACTTTTTTTCTAAAGAGAGGACTCGCAGCAAGATAGCAACCACAGCACACTAAAATCTTTCAGAGAAAGAGAATTTATTGCTCCATTATCAGGAGAAATGAACTTCTTCCCGCCTTGCTCAGACTCGAAGGTGCTGTCAGGACTCAGAGGAAGAAGCTGACACTGCCCAGACAGAATCCTGTGTTTGGATGGAATTTATGCATCATGCAAGAGGTGTATGAATATGCAACAGGCTGTTGCTTTAAGGGTTAATCCTCTGTTAACGTGGGTCCTTTTTCGGGCTTATTTTGCCCAGAAAAGGTACCCAGACTGTCCTTAGCTCTTTGTTTTTATTGTCTCGTATTGTCCTAATCTCAATTGTCCAAACTATTACTACTCTAATTATATTGCTATTTTAATAACCATTTTATTCCTATTAAACTTTAAAAATTTTAAAAACAAGCGATTGGCGTTTTTCACAGGGTTCTTTACACAAAATGTCTAAAGTCTGTTCTTTTTCCCCCCAAGGGTCTGTGGCTGCTCTGGTGGCCCTGACCCCTGTCTCTGTTCTTGTCCCTGTCCCCTGCCCCTATCCCTGTCCCTATCCCTGTCCGCCCCTGTCCCCTGTCCCTGTCCCCATCCCCATCCCCATCCTCTGTCCCTGTCCTTATCCCTGTCCCTTGTCCCTGTCCCCTGTCCCTGGTCCCTGTCCCCTGTTCCTATCCCTGTCCCTGTCCCTGTCCCTTGTCCCTTTCCATGTCTCGGAACGTTTCTGCCCCGGAACGTTTCTCTCCGGTTGCGGTTCCCGCCGGGCGCGGGGAGCGGTGCCAAGATGGCGGCGCCCATCAGCCGGGGCGGCCCCGAGCCCGGCGCGGCTCCGTACGGGAACTTCCCGAACTATTCCCGGTTCCACCCGCCCGAGGGCCGCATCAGCCTCCTGCCCCAAGGGCTCCTGCGCAGCCTCTTCCCCGCGGCCACCCGCCCGCTGCTCGGGCTCGATGTGGGCTGCAACTCCGGGGTGAGGGCGCCACACGCAGCCGGGTTTGGGGCACATCGCGGGGAGCGGGGTGGGGGCAGCAGCCCAGTTTGGGGTGTTGGGGACACTGGGACGGACTGGGAAATCATGGCGTGGGGTCCTGGGCTGGTACAGACTGGTGTGGGGTGCTGGGAGGCACTGGTAGGGGCACTGGGGCAGACTGGCAGTTCTCTGGTACTGGAGGCACTGGGATGGCACTGCTGGGGGGCACGAGTTGGCACTGGGACACACTGGGAGGCATTAGAGGCACTGGGACACACTGGGGGGCACTGGGGGCACTGGGACACACTGGGGAGGCACGAGTTGGCACTGGGACAGACGGGGGGTTGTACTGGGGGCACTGGGATGCACTGGGGAGGCACTGCTGGGGGACACAAATTGGCACTGGGACAGGCTGGGGGGCACTGGGGGACAACCCAGTTGATGTGCCAACCCTGAACCTGCACCAGGGTCCTTACCCTGAACCTGCTCTAAACCCCCCTTTCACTGGGAACTTTCATTTTCTTCTGCGTTAAAACCTCTCTGGGCTGCAGCCTGAGGGGTCCTGGGCACCTCCAGGGTAACCATGGGAAAGGCTGGGATGAGGCACTGGTCTGGGGTGGGGCAGACTGGGAACACTGGTGGGGAACGAGGGAGGGCAATGGGACAAACTGGGAATGCAGGGAGAGGCAGGGGGAGATGGGAACGGTGGGGAGGCACTGGTGGGGAGTACTGGGAGCACTGGGAAGGATGGGGAGCACTGGGAGGGATGGGGAGCACTGGTGGGGAATGCTGGGAGCACTGGGAGGGATGGGGAGTACTGGTGGGGAGTGCTGGGAGCACTGGGAGGGATGGGGAGCACTGGTGAGGAGTACTGGGAGGACTGGGAGCACTGGGACACCTCCATGGGATGCTGGGAGGAGTGGGGCAGACTGGGGAGAAACCTCGTCCTGGGTTTGTAGTTCCCTCTGGGAATGGGGGCTCCTCCCCTGCCCAGCCCTTTCCATGAGGAATTTCCCCTAAAATCGAGCCCAAACCTCCCCCGGGCTCTGCCTCCTCTCATTCTCTCCTGGGAGCAGCGGTGACCCCTCCTGCTCCACCTCCTGTCCAGGCTGGAGGGTGAGGAGGTCCCACACGAGACCCCAGCTCCCCTCAGGGATCTCCAACTCTGGTGCTCCTGCCCTTTCCCAGCTCCATTCCCAGCTCCACACACATTCCAGGCCTGCCCTGGATCCAGGTGTGGCCTCACCTGGCCCAGCCAAGGTGAATTATTGATCCCACCCTGCTGGGACAGCCCTGCTGCTCCTGGGGGTTGGAACTCCCTGAGGCATTGCCAAGGGACAATTCCAGATCCCATTCAGGGTGAGCAGGTGGAGCAGGTCAGTGAGAGGCACCTGCCACCAGCAGAGGACATTCCCAGTCCTGTGCCTGCAGCTCCAGGAGCTCCATGGGATCTCCTTTAATTAAGGATTAATTAATTTTCCATCAGTGTACACTATGCAAAGAGATTCCAGGCTGGGGACCTGGACATTCCAGGGGCTTGGAGCCTCCTGCTCTTGTGGAAGATGTCCCATGGCAGGGCTGGAGGGGATGAGCTGGGTTCCTCCAGCCCAGAGCATTCCAGGATTCCCTGGTTTCTGGAGCAGGCCTGTCTCCTGTAATAATAACTGTGATAAGTTACACAGACTCCATGCACTCACAGAAGGTTAAAGATCCATTTCTTTATATATTCATTTCTTTATATATACATTTATTTATATATACATTTATTTATACATTCATTTATTTATATATTCATTTCTTTACCAAGAAACCCATTGCTTCTTTATACCCTACTTCACTACAGGTGGACCTAACTGATCCTCTAATTAAAACACCATCACCATTGGTTAATTAAGAAGCCACCCTTTGGTAAACAAATCTCCACCACAAATTCCACATATTTACAACAGATAAGAATTGTTTCTCATTCTGTTCTCTCAACTTCTCAGACTTTTGTGCCTCTCTCTGTGGCCAGAGCTGATGCCCCATGGGGGATCCACTCTTGATGCTCAGGGCTCCCAGGACAGATCTTGGTCCGATTTTCCTTTGGACACCCACGAGAGGCAGCTCTGGGGAGCTCCCTGAATCCCTGTTTTCCTCCTGCAGGAGCTCAGCGTGGCTCTGTACCAGCACCTGCTGGGGCTCCAGGACAGCAGTTCCAGCCCGGAGCCACCAGGAGCCGACAAGGAGCTGAAGCTGCTGTGCTGTGACATCGACCCCGAGCTGATCCGGAGGGCCCAGCAGAGCAGCCCCTTCCCTGCCTCCATCTCCTTTGCCAGCCTGGACATCATGGACCCGGGGGCCAGGGAGCCCTTCCTGAGCTCCTTCCTGCAGCGCTTCGGCCGCTCCTCCTTCGACATCGGCTTCTGCATGTCCGTGACCATGTGGATCCACCTGAACCACGGCGACCGGGGCCTGCTGGACTTCCTGGCCCTGCTGGCCTCGCTCTGCACCTTCCTGCTGGTGGAGCCCCAGCCCTGGAGGTGCTACCGGGCGGCCGCGCGCCGGCTGCGCAGGCTGGGCCGCGACGACTTCGAGCATTTCAGATCCCTGCAGATCAACGGGGACATGGCCGAGAGCATCACCCGCATCCTGACCCAGGAGTGCGCCATGGAGCTCGTCTGCTCCTTCGGCAGCACCTCCTGGGACAGGAGCCTGCTGCTCTTCAGGTCCACCACTGCCCGTGCCCAGGGCTCTGACTGAGGGACTGTGGGGCAGAGCTGGGAATTCCCAAATCCCTGCTGGGACTGCACCTTGGCTTCCTGTGGGAACCCGGGCCAAGGAATGTCTGGGAAGGATTTTTTGGGACAGTTAATTAAGAAAGCACCCTTTGATAAACAGATCTCCACAACACATTCCACATGGAGCAGCCTGGGAGAGTGGAAGGTGTCCCTGGGGATGGGATGGATTTTAAGGTCCCTTCCCATCCAAACCATTCCACATGTTCACAACAGCAGGTGCAGCGAGTGGAGATAAGAGTTGTTTCTCATTCCTATCTCCTCACAGCCTCTCCCAGAGCCATGCCTGGCAAGGTTGTGCCTCTCTCTGTGGCCACAGAGCTGCTGCCACAGGGGGGATCCACTCCAGGTGCTCAGGGAACACCAATTTTGTGGGGTGGGAGGTTGTTCAAGGAAGTGTTCCTGGAATCCAAGTTCCTACTTGTGCTTTCCAGAATATTCCCTGGAATTCCAGTCCCTCAGAGGCCTGCCCTGGATCCAGGTGTGGCCTCACCTGGCCCAGCCAAGGTGAATTATTGATCCCACCTGAAACCCACCCTGCCAGACAGTGCTGCTGTTCCTGGAATACCAGGGAACATGGCCAAGGAAATGTAAAATGTCCTGACTGGAGCAGCCTCACAAGGATCCTCCAGTCCAGCTCCTGGCCCTGCAGAACACATCCCAAAAAAAATCCCAAAATCCCAATGCCCAAGTTGTCCAGACATTGCCAGACCTCCAGAATCATGGAATATCCAGAGCTGAAGGGGACCTGTGAGGGTAACAAAGTCATGAAACATCCAGAGTTGGAAGGGACCCACCTGGATCATCAACTCAAACTCCTGGCCCCGCACAGGACATCCCAAAATCTCACCCAGTGCCTGAGAGTGTTGTCCAAGCACTCCCTGACCTCCAGAATTATGGAATAATCAGAGTTGAAAGGGACCCACAAGGATCACAGAGTCATGGAGTACCCTGAGTTGGAAGGGACCAACCCAAAAATCCCCCTGATCCCAAAATCCCAGCACCCTGAGCTCTGGTTTCCTGGGGCTGTCACCATCCCCTGGGGGAGCTGTTTCCCTCTGGATGAGGAACCTTTTCCCAAAATGCACCCAAAGCTCCCCCAGGGCTGGGCTGAGGCTCCTGCAGGACAATCCCCAATCCCCTCCCTGGCCCCAGCAGCCCTGGCTGAACTCTCCAGGACAGGGGTTCATCCCTAACAGTGAGTGCTCCTGGGAATGATATCCTGGAATAAAAATCACTGAATTTTGTCCCAAATTCTGTGTTGGGAATGATATCCTGGAATAAAAATCACTGAAATTTATCCCAAATTCTGTGTTGGCGTTTTTAATCCCGTTTTTATTCCCATCCCTTTCAGCACCTGAGGGGTGCCAGGGACCTGAGCTGGTAATTCTGTTGTTATTCCACTTTTCCTTGCTGCAGTGGGAGCGAGGGAAGGCCAGGGCTGTCCTAAGCCTTGTTCCAGGTGAGCTCCATTCCCGAGGGAAGGAGGTGGCACCTCCAGGAGGTGGTGCTCGAGTGTCGCTGCTGCTGCCCAGGTGAGCAGGGGAACACCTGGGTGGATTTGGCCTTGTCCTTACTGGGAATTCCTTGGTTCCTCTGTGGGGAGAGGGAAGGGAAGGGAAGGGAAGGGAAGGGAAGGGAAGGGAAGGGAAGGGAAATGGAAGGGAAATGGAAGGGAAAAGGAAAGGGAAAAGGAAAGGGAAAAGGAAGCCTTGAAGCCCCTGCTGGTGCCTAAAGGGGCCCCAGGAGAGCTGGAGATGAATTGGGGACAAGGGATGGAGGAATAAGACACTGGGAATGGCTTCTCACTGCCAGAGGGCAGGGATGGATGGGAGATTGGGAAGGAATTCCTCTCTGTGAGGGTGAGGAGGCTCTGGGATGGGTTTCCCAGAGCAGCTGGGGCTGCCCCTGGATCCCTGGCAGTGCCCAAGACCAGGCTGGACAGGGCTTGGAGTGGCTTGGGACAGTGGGAGGTGTCCCTGGGATGGGATGGGATTTATGGGATGGGATTGATGGGATGGGATGGGATGGGATTTATGGGATGGATTTTAAGGTCCCTTCCCACCCAAACCATTCCATGATCCTGGGTGTTTTGGGATGCTGAGCAGAGTTGCAGGAAAACTTTGAGGCCCTTCCCATAAATGCAACTTCCCCAGGGATCCTGCAGCTCCTCCAGTGCGTGAATCCCTTTGGGAACTGAGCAGCTCCTGAACTGAGCTCATTCCAGGAGCTGTGGGGAAGCTCTGCTGACTCCAGGCTGTCACTCATGCCCTGTTTTCCTCCCTTTGCTCCTGCTCAGCTGCTCTTTCCCAGCTGGGGGCACTGGAGGATCGTGCATCCCACACCCTTCCCCCCTGGAATGTTTCCCTTCCCTTGTGTCAATATTTGGTGCTGTTTTTCTTTCACCTTTGAAACGTTTCTGAGCTAAGCCCAGCTCTGTCCCTGCTCTTAAAGGGGGAAGAATTTCTGCCTTTCTTTTTCCTTTGGGGATTTTCGTGCTTCCCTGTGAAAAATTCTAGGAAGAGTTGCTCGAAATGTGCCTCCCAACTTGTCCCTACACCTGGCTGGAAGGACCTTCTCCTTCAGAGAGACCCTGGTTCATGTTCCTTATTTCCTTATTTCCTGGGAATCCCCCCAGGATGTGCCCGGGGAATCCTCCTGGGCTGCTCTTTGAGGGAGCAGTGTGGGTTGGAGTGGATAATTCCTATTCCATTTTTATGGAGTTGCTAATTCCTATTTTATTTTTATGGAGTTTGCATTTCCTCTTTTTCCAGCTTTTCCATGCTGTCCATGCCTGGTGTGTCTGTAACTGCAGAGTGGTTCCTTATCTCTCATTCCTGGACTTTGGAATTGCTGATAAGGCTCAGGAGTGGCCCAGCTCCAGAATTTGCTCTGCTTGGCTTTGGCACAGCCAAATCCTTTGGGTTTTCCACAAATACAGCTCAGAATGGTCAAAACAAGAATGATCAAAACGAGTCCCTGTGCTCAGCCTAGAGAAAAGGAGCCTTAGGGGGGACCCTCTCCTTCTCCCCAGAGCCCTGGTGGAGCCAGGGGGAATTTGGGATCTGCTACCAAGAAACAAGGGAAAAACAGCCTCAGGTTGCACCAGGGGATATTTGGGTTGGATATTGAGAAAATTCCTTCCTGGAAAGGGTTGTAAAGCACTGGAAGGGGCTGCCCAGGGCAGTGGGGAGTCCCCATCCCTGGGAATGCCCAAGAAAAGTGTGGATGTGGCACCTGGGGACATGGTCAGGGATGACCAAGGTGGTGCTGTGTTGATGGTTGGACTCAATAATCTCTGAGGGCTTTTCCAACTGAGCAATTCCATGGATCTGTGATCCCAGGATACTGCAGAGCTCAGCATGGAGTCAGTCCTTCAGCAAAGAGGAGGAAAGATCACTTTCATTTTCCTTTCAGCTCCTGCTGTCCAGGGAGGTGTTGGGGCTGGAGAGGTGGGAACAGCTCTGGGATGCAGCCATGGCAGAGCCTGGAGGAGATCCCAGGGATCCCAGCTGCACCAAGGACCTGGAGATTTCTATGTTTAACACTCTGCATTTCCCATATCACTAAAATGTGTTCCCAGTTTTCCTGAGGGTGGGACAGAGAGAAATTCCACTTGGGAGTTTAACCCTCATCTGCCCCTTGGACAGCAGCAAAGCTCTGTGCTGGTTCCTCATGGAGGAGTGGTCATGGGGAGATGGAGGTCCTGGACTTGGGGAAGGCTTTGGCTGGGAAGGGACTCCTGATATTGCCACCCCACCCCTGCCATGGGACACCTCCCCCTGTCCCAGGCTGCTCCCAGCCTGGCCTGGGCACTTCAGGGGTCCAGGGGCAGCCCCAGCTGCTCTGGGGAACCTGACTCGGTTCCCTTGGGCCTCCAGGACACCTGGAGCAGGGCAGGAGAGGGATGTCCCTGGTCCCAGGATGGGCCTGCCAGGGCTGGCTGCTGCTGCTGAGGAGCAGGAGCTTCCCTGGGAGTGCAGAGCTGCCCTGGAGCATCTGCCTGTGCTTGGGAATTGCTTCTGAGCTCCGAGCTCTGGGATTGTTCCTGAGCTCTGAGCTTTGGGATTCTTGCTGAGCTCTGAGCTTTGGGATTGTTCCCAAGCTCTGAGCTTTGGGATGGTTCCTGAGCTTTGGGATTGTTTCTGAGCTTTGAGATTGTTCCTGAGCTTTGGGATTGTTCCCTAGCTCTGAGCTTTGGGATTTTTCCCAAGCTTTGAGATTGTCCCCGAGCTTTGGGATTGTACCTGAGCTCTGGTATTGTACCTGAGCTCTGGGATTGTTCCTGACCTTTGGGATTGTTCCCAAGCTCTGAGCTTTGGGATTGTTTCAGAGCTCTGGGATTGTTCCTGAGCTCTGAGCTTTGGGATGGTTCCCAACCTCCAGGCCAGTTTGCCTCTGTTTTTCCATCCCCAGAATGGGTTTGATTCCCTGATAGGGAATCCTGGCTGTGTGATTGCACAGCACTTTTGAGATGGAGAACCTGAGGAGCTGATCTGGAGCCTGGGCTCAGAGCTGTGCCCTGTTCCCAATAATCTCTGCAGGGATTAATTAGTGCTCTGACAAGTGCTGGGGCTCATTAAGGCTCCCCCTCCCCTTCCTTGCATGGAGGAATCGAGGCAGGGGAGCTGAAGCATCAAAATTCAGATGTTGGAGCTCCCACTTTCCAGCTGCTTCCAGCCCTTGGGGGAAGCAGAATTGGGTTGGAGTCAATGAGATCCTTTTTTATTTTTATTTTGGATTTCTCTTTACTGTCACCCCTATGGCACTCAATGTCACTTCCTCTAAGGGACACTTTGCTGTCTCCCAGATTCCCGTGCTGAGTGAGCACAAAGGACACAATCCCAGGGAAAACTGGAACTCTGGGCCCAGGCAGGAACTGGGGAGTGGCCAGAGGAAACAACCTGAGAGCACCAAATGTCCTGGAGCTGCTCCCTTCCCCATCCAGAACCTCCTGACACAGCTGGAGAGGGATCCCCAGCCCTGGGGGGG